TAAAAGAAAAGGCATCACAAAGATTAAACATAATAAAATACCTTGCAGGAACATCCAGGGGAGCTGAAAAGAAAAATTTAAGACAGTTATACACTGGATACGTCAGATCTGTAATGGATAACATTCTCTCTATACAAGTATTAGGCCCTATAACTGCCAACAAAATCTATCAATCATTATTAGACACAATTCAAAACCAAGCCTTGAGTCTAATCAAAGGAGGTATAAGAACTACTCCCACAGCAGCCTGTGAAATAGACTCCAATACTGAACCTCTTAAGTTAAGGCGCAACAGAGAGGCATTAGAAGCTATTGAGAGATACAGAAGGTTGGAGGATGATCATCCTAATAAACTACTAACACAGAGAAATTGGAAAAACAAACAAAAAAAAAAAAGCAAAGTACTCTGATCCAACTTACTGACGAACTAGCCATAAAACACCACCTACCCAATAACAGAGAAAAAATTACCAGATTTTCAATCATAACGCCCGGACTCAATTACAAACAACCAACCATTAAAACGCATTTGCTAAATAACACCCTAACAAAAGAATCAAATCCACTGGAGCTCAAAGCAGGCACGCTCGAAACAATTGAAAGCTATAAAAAAAACAAAAAAAAACAGCTATCCATATCTATATATATGAATTTAAAACACCCTACCAGTGGGGTTTGAACTTAAAACCCCTATCAGGGCGTTTTGAGTTTAAAACCCTACCTGGGGGTTTTGAGTTTAAAACCCCCTACTAGGTTTTTTTTTGCAGTTCAATCCCTCTCTTCTAATAAAAAAACAAAACGACTCTCTCCCCAGATTCCAAGAGCACAGTGAAGGAAGAATTTTGATTTATAATCCCCCTATTCAATATAAAAAAAGCAAATTACACACTAAAAATTCTATGAGCCTAAAGATTTTATTTGAACCCCCCCTCCTCTTCAGTAGAGTTTGAAGCTAAAAATACCTATTCAATATAAAAAAAAAAGCAAATTACGCACTCAATATGTTATGAGCGTAGGTGAATGGGTTTCGACTCAGTTTTGAGTTTAACCCCCTTTTAGCGGGGTTTGAAGGTAAAAAAAAATACCTCTTTAATATTAAAAACAAAGCTAATTATACACTCAAAATTCTATGAGTGTAGTCAAAGGGGTTCCAAGTTTAAACTCCCCTCCAGTGGAGTTTAAAGCTAAAAGAATAACTCTTCAATATAAAAAACGCACTCAAAATGCTATGAAAGTTGCCAAAAGGGGTTTTGAGTTTAAACCCCTTTTAGCGGGGTTTGATGCTAAAAAAAATACCTCTTTAATATAAAAAAAAAATTACACACAAAAATTATTTGAGCGTAGCCAAGCCAATTGGGGGTTTTGAGTTTAAACCCCTCTCCTACAGTTTGCTTTTCTTAAAAGTTTAAAACCCCTCCAGATGGTTTTGAGTTGAAAAAAAAAATTCTAAAGCAAACTACAGTTACCAAATACTATGACTGTAACTAAATGGGGATTTGAATTTTAAAAAAAAAAAAAAACTCCAGAGAATTTTTAGTTTAACATCCACAACAGATGATTTTGACGATAAAACTTCCCTTTTCGATAAAAAAAATCTAAAGCAAACTACAGTCACCTAATTCCAAGAGCGTATTCAAGAGAGGTTACACATTTCTACCAGTGGCGGGGCTCCATTAATAAAGTGCATTGAAAAGTAATCAGTCGAAATTGAAAAACACTAAATGTGGCTCAACAAAGATTTCTAAGATAGATTTTAGGAGTCCGTTATAGAGATCGGGTCTAAATCAAGGAAATCCTATGCCGAATCGGGAGTCGACGCCTTAGTAAGGTTGTGACAGAGCGTCGCATGAGGTTTGCGGGACATGTTCTCCGACAAAATGAATTAGGCATACTTAAGGGTTGCGATGACATCCTAGTACAACTTGGCGCCTGTAAGGCAGTACGAATAGCATTTTAGGTTTTTGAAATAAAACTTTTTAATACCAGGAAAATTTACTGTAGATACCTCAGAACATTCATTTTGTTGGCTTTCAATACCAGAAATAGTGCTTGGCGGCCCGCGCTGGGGGAGCTCCAAGTGCTCCCCTGACCCCATTGCTGTCAATGGCGGGGAGTCTACAATTTTTCCACTAACTCCAGGAAGAAACATTGTTGGGCATAATAAACATATTTCAAAAGAATGAAGGGTCAGAATGTAAAAAAGATCATGTACACACACACACACATACATACTATTAATTTTTGTTCTCGGTGGAAGGGGGCGGGGGGGGGGGAGAAACAATCCCCCCCCCCACCCCCGAAAAAAAACCTGGCTACGCCCATGTTGACAACACTATATGTGATAAACCATCAGATGATATCAAAATTAAATATCAATAGGCCTATCACACTACAGTGGATCCCTGGACTCATTGGCATCATGAAATGATGAAATGGCAGATAAACTACCAAAAGCAGGATCATCTATGGAACAACCAGATAGACCTGTTAACTACCTCACCCTAAGGTCAATGTTAGTCAACAATCACAAAGAGGAGTGGCTAAACCAATGGGCATCAGGAAACACAGGCAGAGCTATGTACAAAGAAATGACCATGCCTAACAAACTAGACAGTACTAACTTCCTCCCCCGCAAAGAACAATCTACAATTTTCCAACTAAGAACAGGACACACACCTCTGTTAAATTACCATTTGAACAAAATAAATTCCACACACCCCCTCCCCCTTTTGTAGACACTGCGCCCAAACTTATGAAACCCTAAACCATATCCTCTTTGAATGCCCCTTCCTAATCCACCTTATGCAGACCCTACTTCCACTACAACTCAACATTACCAACACCCTGTACGGCAGAACAACTGAAGAAAACAGCACACTATTTTTCCTTGGCACAGTCTGCAAAAGAGCTCACAGTTCAGCAGCAATAAAGCTGGATAGGAGAAGAAGAATCTCGGCCTCTTAAAAAAAAGCGATATTTTGCTAGTAAATCTGAAAGGCAGGTCTGAATGTATCCTAAAAAACCCGAATTTCAAAATTTCAGTCTTTACCGAGATTCGAACCCAGAAACCCACTAGGTTTGGTTAAGTCAAGCACTTAACCACTCAGCCACGTGTACAGCACCCGACCGCCCCGATTTGATATAAACTAATTAAAAATTAAACCCAGATCTACCTACTCGGCTTGAGTAAAGAGCTTGAATTACAACTTAATAGTGTAACGTAGCAGAGTGGCGCAGCGGAAGCGTGCTGGGCCCATAACCCAGAGGTCCGTGGATCGAAACCACGCTCTGCTAACATTTTATAAAAGACACTTTTAGTGTATGGTACTTCTTTTTTTTTTTTTTTGCTTTATTTTATTATCATTTTTTAGTAATTAAGATACTAATTTAGTGACCTTCGTGATTGAGGCGGGCTTGATTGATGAATCATTGATTTTGGGCCCGGGTTCATGCGCCATGTAGTGGCGTGGCAAGGTACTCGTGGACCCGGGTTTAGGAATATGTCAGTCACGGAGTCAAGTGGGTCCCCCTCCTAAAATAAGACAAGTTTAGTGTGTGACCAAACAATCGAGTAGGGCCTAGTAAGATATAATGTCATTACGCTTGATTCAGTTAGGACCTCATACAAAAATATATAGTGTTTTAAATGTTTGTACAACGGCTTACGACTAAAAGGTGTTTCAATTTTAAATGAACTAACGAATGTTTTATTATTTCTTTTTCCCATTGTAGGCTACACATGTTAATTAAAAAAACAACCAAAAAAAAACAAACTGTTGTAAGCATTGATAAAAATTGTAATCTAGTTCTATGTCCATTCGTTAACAGAGAATATATCTCTAATGTCTAACATGTATTTACTAAAATATCTTTTTTTCTGGTATTCTGTGAAGTGAAGCAAAGCTAGAAACCATGGAACTATAGTATAGCATGCTAGAAACCAGTTCATTCTAAACGTTTGGATGTTTCCCCTCAAAGGAGAGTTCTGCAAATGAAGTCATCCTGCTCTGTGTCATAGAATATTTATTAGAACCTCTTAAATATATATTTTTTTATTAATTGCATCTTCGAGAATGGCCTCAGACAAAGCGAGAAATAACATGCATGTTGTGACAATGTTTATAAAACTTGATGATCAAATGTATATATATATAGTTCGTCCATTGTGGTTTGATGATGACCACTTTGTCATCCAGGGGGCTGAGGGCTTTGCACTGGGGTTTTATGCGTCCTCATGTGGCTGGTAAGACCTATGTGAGCCCGGAATGTTCGGTAATTACTGGTAATTAATTTTGTTTGATACCAACTAGGACAATTAATCCTTCAGTATCCACAGATACAGGTAAATATGAATTTCGTTCCCTTAGAAAATTAAACATCTCAAATCCCATGCTTGGACAAAGTTGAAATTTTTAAAAATTATTTATTGTATCTAACAAAACATAAATAAATTGTAAAAATTATCCAATTAGTCAATTTATTATCAATAACTATTTTCTTTGGTATCAAATAAGGGAAGTAACTTCTACAATGTAGAGAGATATATTCGTATGTGCAGATTTATTACCTTTATATAAGTTTTGTTTTTTAAAAAGGATTTTTTAAATTTTGCTTGTTTATTGTGTATTCATAATTGGAATATTCATTTTGTGTTTTCAATTTGGATTATTAAACAATTCTTCAAAGAGGATATCTGTTGGTTCTTCACCAATTCAAGTATCCCCAACTACACTGGGTACTGTGTCCATACTAGGTATCTAAGATATGTATACAGTACCAGTCTCACAGTGATATTGACGGGGTGATTCACATTCATATCCAACTTGCGCTTGAATAATTTCTTAAAGGACAGTTCACATTAATGAAATTTAAATGTAATGGGATGTGTGACTGAGAGGTCAAAACCACATGGCTATGACTTAGCCACCCGATAAGGAGGCTCGAGTTCAAATTCCAACTTAAGCAGAGTTGTGTTTGCTGAGTGCCGTCTGACACCATGTAGAATATTCGTATTACACAAATAACAAACTAGTGTTTAAGAGGGAAGACATTTTAGGAACTCCATTTATTACGTAAACACAAGCGGTGTTGCACTGACGCGCTAGTGTGCAAATGTACATATAATACCAATATGTTACACCTTCTCCCAGATGCCCTCTTCCCCAAAGGTCCAAATAGGGACTGGACTATACAGCATGTTGTAGGCATGTGTGTTGAAAGGGAGAACTGAATGATAATTCATTAAAACAGAACCCATCCACTAAAAATGTGGTTGATATTTTTACAAGGTTTAAATGTACCCATCTTCACTAGGTAATTTCAATGAAATTTAAAATAGCAATTTAAAAAAATTGGAGAACAAAATATAATATTTATTATAAAAATTAAATATGGAAAAAACTTTTTTATCATCTAACAAAATAAGATGAAAGAAAAATATTATGCACATGAAAGAAAAAAATTTTGTTTTTTATAAAAATGTATCATTTTAAAGAAAAAAAATATTATGAGTGTAGTTTTTAAAAGTATACTTGAAAAGTTGCTTTCAATCTAAATGCTGATGTGAAATGGCAAAGTAGTACCAGTATAAAGTAATAAAAAATAGAAAGAAAACTTATAGTATTTTCCCAACAAATTTTACGATTAATTTTATATACTTAGGGTAAGTGTCACAGGTTAAAAGATAGCAATGAAGGTTGGGGTATAAATAGGACATGCATATATACAGCTATTTTTATCTGAAGTGGTTATCAAAGGGTACTATTGAAAACATTATAACACTGAAGAAAAAAATGTAACTGGAATCAAGAAAGTGTGTTGTAAAAGTAGATTGTGATCTGATTTGCTAAAGATTTAGTGTAACCTTCTCAGACAAAATAAAATTACAAAAACTAAAATGTATCATAAATATTAGTAAAATAAAAATGATGCAATTGTACAAATAAATGCTTTCAAAAGAAAAAAACATTAGGAGCTTACAACTTCAATGACACATTAAGATCTTGCTTATATATATATATATATATATATATATATATATATATATTATAAACTTTTGGAACACAAAATATCACACTGTTGATAATTAAAGCTTTGACTTTGAAATCATAATTATGCTATATAAAATTTTGATTTACTAATGAACAAATACTGGTGGGTATTTCAACTGACTAGCAATTGTAAATGTTAAAGTTTGAATGTATACAAAGAAAAAAATCTTTCATTAACATGACTAGTACCAGCAGTAGAAACAAGAACATAGAAAAAACAAAAAACACAACAAATATACAAATCCTAAAGTAAACCTAACAAAAATAATGTCAATTTTCACATTTCAAGATGGCAAATCAATCATAACATACAGGAAAAACATTAAAAACACTTTTAAAAAAATACAATGCTTCCTCTATACATCTTATAAAGCTATGATTTTGATCTTAATAACTAACAAATGGTAGATTTAAAAAAATGGAATATTCCCTCCTCCCTTCCAAGAAAGAATCCTGGTTTAGCAAATGTATAGATCTACTACACTTTATAATATTCCAATGATAGGCCATTAGATCTAGACTTAGAAGATGGTGTGCAAAATGTTCCTTAACATTAATTTATTAAACTCTTGAATAATATAATCATGGAACTATCATTAATGTCTAATGCAGAAATACCCAAAGACATATTGTCTATTTAAGATATTTTCTAGTTCTCTAGCCAAATTTAAATTGATTTCTTATTTTACATTGAAAAATTATAATGGCCAAACTAGAATTTCCCCACTGTGGCTAATGAGCTAGTAATTCTTTTCTCAACAATATACAGCAACTGTCAAATTTCTAGGAAAATTGTTAGAGCCATATTTGAGATCCGCAGGATTTGCTCACCCAGAAGGTTTTTGTTTCCACGAAGTTAGGAGTTTAATATAGGTATTGTAAAGATAAAAACATAAAATAAATACACAAATCCTAAAATCAATCAAATTTAAACTGTGACATTAATGGAATGTCAATTTTGAAGTTTCAATATGACTAATCAACTATAACTTCAAAGTGGACCTGGCCAACCTGCTCCACTCTGTCATGAATGATATTCTTGGCAAACGCTCTGCATGTCATCATTAAGAGGAAACCAGGATGAGGGTTTTCAAACCTAAGAAACATGAGAGGTGACCTATAGCCTTGCTGGTTGAGGAAAGGAAAGTATTTGAAATGGAAGCCTTGTTGAGGGAAATAGGACAGATCACCCATGTTCTCTCTTGTGGTATCATCCTGGCAACATAAATAGCATACAAGAAAATAGATAATACCGGTACTTTTAAAATGCAATCTAAAACTATAATGTTAAAGTTCACAATTCCATACCTGATTTTTCATTGTAAAGAATAATGCATCTTTGAAACATTGATCAACTTGTTTGCATAAGAGTGATATAATGAGTGCAGACATAAGCTTAATATGGCCAATGCTAACAACATTTTTTTAAGCTTTTTTATTAGAATGGTCACATTAATTTGGGCTTTTCTGGTTTTATATTTCTGGGTAAATAATGAATAGTCTTTATTTTGTGTTTTTAATGAAAATATACTAGCTATAATGTATTTTGAGTAAATTACCTTTTCAAAAGAGTTTATATTTTACTGTAATTTGTCAAGTTTTATTTGAGTTAATGATTGATAATTGAGTTCTTTTTTTTTTTTTTCTTTCCCAAGAAGATCTGTCTTATTTTATCAGTGTATTTATATATGGTATCTTTGTAATAATGTGCTAAGACAATATATGAGCCTCAAAGAAAGAAAAAAAAAGAGGGTTATAATAAAAGGAAATTAAAGGTATAATTTTTCCCATGGCCTGCCATTCTTCATAAGCTACCACTAATAGGAATGATAATAAATAAGTTAAATCTTACATCACCATCACATCGAACATGAATCCACCATGGATCGTCAGAGTCCCAGTCATCCTTGATTAAAGCAGGAACAGTTTCTGGCGTAAACTCTTCCGGTACCCAACCATGAATCTGAGGGAAAAAAATCTATTTTAGAATCCCAGGAAACAAACTGTTTAAATGGCAATTTCAATCAAACATTTCTGCATTGAATTTTCACACTTTTGAAAGAGTTGTTTAGGCAAAGGGCTAAATGATACATATTACTGCTCACTATAATCAAACTTGATGAAATTATTACAAAGTACACCTAGTTCAATGTAGTACTTAGCAGGAAAAGCCAAGCTTCCCTTTAAAAATAATTTGCTGCTTTGATGCAACAGATGGCAACAAAATGACCTATTATAAATTTAGAATTCTGAAATTCAGAAAACCTAGGCACTTGAACAGAAATGTATGTTTTTCATATTTAAAAGAGCTAGCAGAAAGATTTTTTAAAAGTATTTTTATCAATTTATCATATCTTATATTTTTTCTATTTTAAGCTACTGCGCTATATTTGTACACTATGGCAAAGCTAAATGCTCAAACTGAACTAAAGTAAATGAATCAAGAAATTAGTCACCCTGTTTAACTTCAACAAGATACAAGGCTGGCCATCATCAAAGCCATAGTTCTGCTGTTTGACACAGTCCCCACCAAGAACAATGGGATCAAAAACACAGACTTTATCCAGCTCCTCAGTTCGTCTATTTCTTATCTCACTACAGTCTTTGTAGCGGTCTCCAACTTGCAACTGATTTTCATAATCTGAGAGGAAAGACAAAATTTTGACTCAATACTTTGAGACTTGGTCATTAGCTCAATAGAAATGGTTTAAATGCCTGATGCAGGATGTCTTTTTCAAAGTAACAATTTATTTTCACCACAATTACTAATTTATAGTCCTTATTTTGTTTTTCTTAATAAAATAATTTACATCATATATATATATATATTGTATTGCATTCTTGTAATAATTTATTTACGGCTTCTCTTTTCCAAAACTTTTGAGCAACATTTTAATTGTTTAACCATCACCTTCTGAATTCAAATGCTACTTCTTGACCAATTAAAAAAAAAGAGAAATTAATTAAGATTAATAACTCATTAAAAATATCAAGCATATTGCTGAAAGATATTTTACAAATACTGCTGAGATATATGTTGAATAATACTTACATTGAATATATGCCTCAATGTGGTCGAGATAGTGAGTGTATGTCGTGGGGTCTCCTTTCATGAAACGAACTAGTGTTGACCCAAGGTAGGGCTGAGGCCTAAATGACATCCCTGGAGTCTTAAGTTTTAAAGATAAAAACATTCATGATAGCAAAAACAAAGAATTTTTAATTTAAAGCATTCATTTTGTTAATAAACTCTCTATTTATCTATATATTACTTCTAAAAATCCTGCGACTTTAAAACATTAAATTTAATTTTGCTAATTAGTCATAATATTTAAAATCTTATGTAAAATGTATTGGCAAAAATGAGGAATGGAAATTGTGTTGTTTTTTTTAAATGAAGTAATTTTTAAAAAATCATTTATTATTTTTTTAAATAACTGTCCAACTCAAAAAGAATAAAATCTAAGAAAATAATTTTTGTGTGCATTAAAGAAATTAGTAAATATACTCTACATCAAGAAGAAGAAGAAAAAAAAAGACTACTTTAAACTTCACTCAGCTACTTAAATGCAAAAAGAAAAAAAAAAGTTTGCATAAAAAGGAAACAGTTAATGTATAGAAAGTGAAATAAAAACAAATACAACTGAGAGAGAAATCTAAACATTTCTATAAACATTTCATACAAGAATGCATTGATTAATTGTTGTGATCGAAAGCAAAATACTAAATTTTCTTTGAAAAGACAGAGATATATACAGAAATAGTTCATACTTACATCTATTATTAGTTATGCAGCAAAGATAAATAGAAAAGTATTGAAGAAAACTTGTTTAAAAAAAAACAATGCTAAAAGCATTAAAAATGTATATATATATATATATATGAAGTAGAAAGTAAGGCGTATGTATGTGTGTATGTATGTATGTCCACGTATAGAAATCAAAACTGCTTGACTGATCTTGGCAAAAATGTTCATTGGGTACCAACTTCGACCGTAGTGTATGTATTCTAGCCCTTATACAAACTTTAAAAAAAAGTTGACCAGCTCTATGAAAGCATTATAAATTCATCGATCTAGGCCAAGTTTACTTGAGAAAAGATCGAAAGGATCTAGATCTACATCTAATTTTAAGAACTACACTTTGCGCAGATAGTTTTTTACTTTGGCACATGAAAATAAAAAATATAGTCCATTGATTTCATTATTTAATAAAATTAACCTTCAAATTTGTGTTTCAAAAGCATTTTTATACATAAATTCATTCCTTATATTTGCGAATGTAGAATTCCTGATGAGCATTCTTTCATTAGACAATACCGTAATGTTACACATCTTTCTATTCCTAGGTCTAAAACTCTATTTCAACTCTAAGATGCTATAACTTCTCTTCGCAAAGATAGTTTTATACTTTAACACATGAACATACTAATTATAGTCTATTCATTTCATATTTTAATCAAATTAACATTAGAATTTGTTTTTTTTCTAAAGAATTTTTCATGCATTCATTCGCCCTAAAGCTGCGAAGCGGTGTTAAGATATATTCTAATAGTTTCATTCATTCACGTACATCTAATTAAAAAGGTCACGCATGCGCATGTGCAAAATGAACTCTATCCAAGCCAATATTTAACTCTAGATTACTCTAGATCTAGATCTATGTCTAAATCAAGATCTACTTTATTCTTTAACACATGAACATACAAAATTGCACCCCCGGGCCGCAGGTAATATATGTCTAGTATATATATTATATATAAACATGAAACTGAATTTTTTTTTCAGCTCTTACAGCCCTAAAAATTAAAAAACATAACTAATATAATAGAACTAATTTTTTTTAAAAACATATTTGTTTCTTTTCTCTGCTACTCTAGGAAATCAACAAAATAAATAAATGTGAATTAAGCTATTTATATGTAGAGGTGATAACAGCCTCTCACTAAGCCACTGACATA